TTAATCCCCTCAAACCTTTAAGGCAAGATCAAGTCTGCGGTTTGGGGTGGAGCGGGAGTATGCCCCGTCCGCTGAGCAGCCGTGGCTTCAGTGACCACGCTTCGCGTGGTCACTGGATGAGCATACATGATATTGTTTCAAGCATGGTTACTTGCATTGTACGGTCTCTATAAAAGCATTGCATGTTTTGTGGAGTTGATCGCAAAAGAAATCATGAGTAGCTTGCAAGTTTTTGTGGATAAAAAATTGCTGTTTGATCCTACAGAGATTGTTATTGCCGGGTTTGATGCAAATGAGTTTTCGGAGTGGAAGAATTTAAAAGGTGATGGTTTGGTAATCGAGAATGCTTCCATCCTGCAGAAGGTTGAGATTGATGGGAGGTACATCGGTGAGAAGTTGCGAACCATCTCGTTTATGAATTGTCCGAATCTTGAAGAGATCAAGTTCATTCACCATGAGCTGGTGGCCGTGACCATCAAAGGGTGCCCACGGCTTCATGATGTGAATTTTTACAACAATCGGTTGAGCGATCTTGATGGGTTGTTAGGACAACTGGACCCGGAAATTGTAGCATCGATCTGGTTGGTTGGCAATCAGTTCAAAGCAATTCTGGAGCCGTTTGTGAAGTTTACAGAGATTGTTTATCTGGGAGTTTCAGAGAATCGGTTCTACGGTTCGTTGGAGCCGTTGCAAAAGCTGAGAAAGTTAAGTTATTTCATGTTTGAGAAGACCGATATCGATTCGGGGTTGGAGTATCTGGACATAGATCCTTGTGATGTTTGTTGTGGTTATGATGAGGATGAGAGGTACAAGGTTGTCACCATCCAGCGTGCGCTTAACAAGTACGGGCAATTCGATAATCAGGAGCTTAACAAGAAGGAAGAAAAGAAGCGGTTTAACCATTCGAGAAATCTAATCAAGTGGCGTGAAGAACATGTTAAAGCAGTTTAGATTTATTTTTTTTCATTTGTCATCAAATGTATCAATCATCATTTAAAAATAAATAAAAATATATTTTTTTGCTTAAATTTTATTATGTTTGCTTAATGGTTTGCATGCAAGTAAAAATACATATGTGGTTTAGAAAGCTTAACATTAGCATAGATTACAAGTTCAATACGGGAGCATGTAGTAGGGATAGTAGGTTTCGAGATACGTGTTTAAAGGTTCGATGAAATGTGAATATTCATTTGCAAATACTGATTCATCAACAGGCATTTCCGATCCTGTACCCCATTCTGATAGATTCATAAAGTTGGCATCGTTCATATCTTCTGGTTGTTCAAGGATTGGAGGTGTGAACATCGGAGTTTCTACCGGTTGTTCTTCTTTGATCTCGATCGAGATAGCAGGCTTGAGTTCTTTAGGTTTATTTGTTTTTGTCTTGGTTATCTTGTTTTTTTCCATCTCTTGTTTTTCCCTATCGCTCCTTTTGGTTCTTCGTCTCTTCTCACAGGAGCGGCGTGGGCGGTATCGGTAGTCAGGATGCTGTTTCGCATGTTCTTGTTTCTTACTTTCGGCAAGCTTGTGCCATTTTTGTTTTTCCTCCGGAGGTTCATTCATCCACATCTCACCGATAATCTTGGACACCTCATTGTTTGGGATCCCATCGTTTCCCACGTTCATGCTTGCGCATTTGGAGGTACGGTAAAGAATGAATGCGTTTGGTGGTCGGGGCGGTCTACCGGGGCGTGCTTTATTCTCATTTTTGAGCTTTTTCAGTTCCCGGTTTAGGGTGGTAATCATGTCAGGTTGCGTTTGAAGCACACACTCATCAATCAACGACGAGAGCGTCTTGTTCTTGTATTTTTCAGGTA